GGCGGTGTCATGGTGTGGCCGACGCTAGTCTCATCCAGATTTATAAAAAGTAGCTCCCTGTCTGCGAGCCTGCTGTGGCAATAGCAGATGGCCCGCCAAAATGTCATGACCTGCTCGAGCGTTGCAGGAAGTGAAAGACAAAGCCTTATTATATATAGGGTCCCCAAATATAATTCCGAGGGAAGAAATTGATTGAAAATGGGGGCCTATTTTTGGTGCCAGATTCTGGCCCCAAAAATGGGACCGCCCAACCGGGATTAAGTAGGCTTATACAGGCATGAAACATGAGGGGGACCCATTTTTGGGGCCACATTCCGGCCCCAAAAATGGAGCCAGCCAACCCAAAAAAGAAGACAAAATGTTGTAAGTTGGCTGGCCCGCGCCTTGTCGCTACAGCGGGGTCTCTGCTAACAACTTGCTTCAGCACCTTCCGGCGGACGCCCCACCGAGCCCGCCAGCGCTGCACCCACTTATTGACCATGCGTTTGTTTGGCACACCCATGTCCAGCTTCTGGCCATGGAAGGCCTCCTCCCACTTCAAAAACGTGTCCATCGCAGAAGGTGCTTGACAATGATTCGTATTGCAGTCATAGACCCACTGCTCTGTGGCTGCTTCGGCCAGGAAGGCTTGCGCTTTGCGTGAAGCTGTGTCATCCAAAGCGGTCAAATCTGGCAGTGGCGTCGTCAGCAACATCTCTTGGATCAAAGCTGCCGTGGGTACCCATTGCTGCCATAGGATATCGTTGTCAAAGCACAAGCCATGCGGAGAGTCAAATCCATGTTAAAATTCGACAGCATGTAAACAGCTACCACAATTTTGCGGGCTGCCACTCCAAGGCCGGCACAGTGCAACCTTTTCCGTTTTTTGGCATTCTGCCGATAAGCCGCTTTCAGTGCTTTGCCGTTCTGCACCAAGGCTTCCTTCAAGTCTGACACCCTGGCATCAGATGTGCCTTCGGCCACACCACAGGGCGGCTGCATGACTGACCGCAGAAAAACTATCTGTCGGCAGACTCATTGAAAACATTCGTGTCATGTCAAACCAATGCTGTCTGATACAGCTGAATTCGAATGGAAGCAAGGAAGATGACCTAATGAGTGCGGCCAAAGCATGGCCTCGGCATTTCAAAGCATACAAATTCATGTCTGGCTCATGCAAAAAACAAAAACTATATTGCTGTTGCATGCAGTCAGCGCGGCAAGACTTGATTCATATGGCTGCGTCCAGGAAAAAACATCGAGGAGAGGCGACCTGTGAGGAGCAGGCAAGACCGAACAATGATGATGAGCCGTCCAATCATGTGGGTTTGTGTTATGACACTGTTATGGAAAAACACTGCTGGTTATCTCTCCACATCATGCAGGTTTGTGTTGTCACAAGGAGGGCCCTCAATGAAGAGGGCTGAAATCAGCGTCCGTTAGCGACCCCAAATTCAGACCTTTTGCACACACAGCACGAGGCCCCACGTATAGGGTCACAGCAGCGGCTCCCCCCCCGCACCCCCAGGATCAATGTTGTTTCCTGGTGTTAATCACTGCAGCAGCCAACTTCCAAAGCGTCAGGTCTTCACAGCAAGACATTTTCGTCAACCTTGATTCCGGGGGGTGCAGGGGGGGGCCAACATGTGGCCGGAAAGGCCCTTTGAATTAGGAAGAAACACATGTGCCGTCACGGCAGGTGGCACATCACAGCTGCAAGATGAAATGCTTCACTGGCCGTTGGCGATGTCAATCTTTGCATTGGCTCCACTGCAACACTAGCATGCTTCGGTGTGAAACTACTAAGCACGATGTCACAACTTTATATTGGCTCTGCCGCAAAACTACTATGCTTCTGTGTGAAAACTACTAAGGGGAATTTCAAACTTTGTATTGGCTCGGTGGCAAAACTACTAAGGAATTGTTCAATGGACAAAAAAGGAAACACTTTCTTCTATTTCTTTTCAATTGGCAGAATTCCTTAGTAGTTTTGCGTCCAAGCCATTGTGATTTCAATTTCACGGGTTAGTAGTTTTTCATGCGTGCATGAGCTGTGACTCTGCCGTGCCAATGCAAAGTCTGCGAAAATGGTTGGAAGTATCCTTAGTAGTTTTTTGGGGTCACAGCAAAAACAGGTGCCAAAGCACGCAAAAACGTGTTTTTGATGCCTTGGGAGACAGCAGTCGTTAGGTAACCTGCCGCGTGTGACTTCACCACATTCCTGTCTGACTCCTTTAGAGACAGCAGTCTCAAGTGCTTCAGTGAGACATATAGTTTTGAGGAAGCTGCTGCTGACTCCTCGAGAGACAGCAATCACAAGTGCTTCAGTGAGACATATAGTTTTGAGGAAGCTGCTGCTGACTCCTCGGGAGACAGCAATCACAAGTGCTTCAGTGAGACATATAGTTTTGAAGAAGCTGCTACTGCTGACGGGTCATTTTGAAGGCCAGGAGCCACGAGAGGTCTTGGGTGCTCAGTTTGCCCGCCGATTTCAGGACTCTGCGTCGTTTTTTCTCCCGGCGCAGAGCTGAAACAAAAAGATTGAAAGTACAAGTGGTGCGATGCAGGTGCAATGCAGCTTCACCAAAAAAAACCTGAGATGGGAAAGATGAAGGTGCAAGTGGCACGATGGAATGTCAATACAGCTTCACCAACACAAACATGGCACACAAGGATGAAATTGAACCAGCCTGGGCCTTGACTTCTCGACTGGTTTGCTGCAGCTGGCGTTTCAAGGCCTGCCTTTCAGCTTTCAAAGCAGCTATACGGTCATCCATCCCGGGCACATGGGCTACAGCAGCACCTTCCGCAGCATCCCTTTCCATACCAGCGGCGGCAGAGGACATGGCTATAGATATAGTCAAATTGTGTTTTCTGCGACGAGCTGTGAGCCGTGCTAGCTGCAGAAGCCATGCCGTCTGGACAGCTTCCATGCCAATTTTCTCAAACTGCACAACTGGAAGATAGTGTGACAAAACATGGCCGGTGGGGGCCCAAAACTGGGGGCTTGAAAAGTGATGCCAAAGGGACTCCCGTACCTTGTACCCCCATAGTATATAGAATATATATATATAGAATATATATATAGAATATATATATATAGAATATATATATATATAGAATATATATATATAGAATATATATATATAGAATATATATATAGAATATATATATAGAATATATATATAGAATATATATATATAGCATATATATATATAGAATATATATATATAGAATATATATATATAGAATATATATATATAGAATATATATATAGAATATATATATATAGAATATATATATATAGAATATATATATAGAATATATATATAGCATATATATATATATAGAATATATATATATATAGAATATATATATAATATATATATATTCTATATATATAGAATATATATATAGAATATATATATAGAATATATATATATAGAATATATATATAGACTATATATATATAGAATATATATATATAGAATATATATATATAGAATATATATATATATAGAATATATATAGAATATATATATTATATATACAATATTATGTACACATAATATATATATATAGAATATATATAGAATATATATATATAGAATATATATATATAGAATATATATATAGAATATATATATAGAATATATATATAGAATATATATATATAGAATATAGAATATATATATAGAATATATATATATTATATACAATATTATGTACACATAACATATATATATATATAGAATATATATATAGAATATATATATAGAATATATATATATAAATTATATATACAATATTATGTACACATAATATATATATAGAATATATATATATAGAATATATATATAGAATATATATATAGAATATATATATAGAATATATATATATTTTATATACAATATTATGTACACATAATATATATATAGAATATATATATATTTTATATACAATATTATGTACACAATATATATATAGAATATATATATAGAATATATATATATAGAATATATATATATATAGAATATATATATATAGAATATATATATATATTATATATATATATTATATACAATATTATGTACACATAATATATATATATAGAATATATATATATATACAGAATATATATATAATATATATATATTATATACAATATTATGTACACATAATATATATATATAGAATATATATATATATATAGAATATATATATACACAATATTATGTACACATAATATATATATAGAATATATATATATTATACAATATTATGTACACATAATATATATATATATATAGAATATATATATATAGAATATATATATATATACACAATATTATGTACACATAATATATGTATATATACATGTATTTATACACATAGTTTTCTTCATTTTGGGGTCCATTCTTGTGGAGGGGGAAGGGATGATTTGCAAGTCCCTGATTCGTGGCCACGGACTCCCCCGCCCCAGGCTACTTTGCCAGGTGTGGCAGCGTCGATGGGGATTGATCAACCAGGAGATTTTCTGATTGGAAAAATTGGTTTTTAAGTTTGTATGGGATAAAATAGAACTTGTTCTAACCAATATTTCAGGGATAGAAACCCCAAAACAGAATTCAATAGCCAAAAAGACTCAGAAAAGGTTCAACTTTGCCATTATTTTAGTGATTTTAGTGTAGGATTTGTCTTTTCCGCATCCTTTGGGAAGTTGCTATAACTGGGATATGAGCAACATGCAAGGGATAACCACCAATCCGTTTCCACGGCTTGGGCGACTGCTGGGATCCACTGTGGTGACATGTCCTGGTGACGAATATATTGATGTGTACTTATCCCCATAGCCCAGAATCAATCGAGACGTTGGCATATCAAATTTAGGTCCAGTAGCTGTTGGTCATATATCCCCAAAAAGCATCATTAGATCCATATCAAATCCGGTCAAACAGGGTGGAGGCTCCACACTTTTCCCACCTGTCTGTTGGGGTCTGTTGGGTCCCCCTGACAGGGCCATGCTTTGTGCCGGCAAAAACGCCAGCGCCTGGGCGGAAGTTGTTGTTCTTCGGCATTTTCAGAGAACCTGATGTGGTGTACTGGAATGAGGGACTAGAGGAAACCATACAATGGCTAGTTTAGATGTACAGCAATGGGAATATAACTGAAATATATTGGAATTATAGGAATTATATGTAATATATATAATTATATAATATCTAAGAATATGATGTGGGTTGATCCAAGAATAAATGACATCCAAAAATGTCAACTGTAATTGGGAAAATTATGATACAACATGGGGTTTTGGGACGACCCCATTTTTTTCGTCCGGACATGTCCGGTAGGTGATTTTCGTAGAACACATGGAGGCTTTTCCATGGCCATGTTTGAACATGTAACGTTTCTAATTCATCCACTCTTGGCAGATCAAGAATTGGGCAATGCCGGGCCTTTCCAGCACTTTTGTGGCTTTCTGTGGCTTTTTGTGGCTAACCATCCCCAGATGTTCAGCACTTTGTTTTGGGAGGCGACTTCGCCATCTAGCTTTTTGAGAGCCACAAGGCCGAGCACCAGAAGCAGCTGGCTGCAGGCAGGGCAGGTCATAACGTGACTGGACCCATCAAGCTGCGAAAAAGGGGTCATGTGTAGCGATTTGTAGGATCTGACACCATCCCATTTTTGATCATTTTTGGGAGGTTTCCCCTAAGTGGGGGGCAAAACCAACAAAAGGCAAAGGGGGACAACGATGTTTGCGTTTGTAGATTTAAAGGTTTTTCGAGTTGTTTTTTTCATTCGTTGGATTTTACCAATTTGTTCTGCTACGCGGGGAGCAAAATTCCCTCACCTTATGTACTTCGTATCCCGAAAGATCATTGCTAGACTCAAGTAAATATATAGAAATCTGGTGGGTGGTTTGGAACATTTTTTATTTTTCCATATATTGGGAAAGATCATCCCAACTGACGAACTCATATTTTTCAGAGGGATAGGTATACCACCAGCCAGAAATGTTATCAAATGTTGGGATGTGAATGATAACAACGCAATTTTTCTGCATTTTTTTCCTTCACCATGCTCTGTTGAGTGCCTCAACGCATTCAGGTCCATCCCTGTTCCGACTTACTTGCGCCATTAAAGGTTACCTTGTTGATTGGTTGATATAGGGGGGTTTACCCTCGGGTAAACGTTTACATAACTATGGAAAATCACCATTTTTCATGGGAAAACTCACTATTTCTATGGCCATTTTCGATAGCAAACTGTTAGTTTACCAGAGGGTATACCAACTGGTTTATTGGGGATCATGAACTAACCCATCATAGGGATATCCATTTGCCGACCAGTGTAATGACCAATGGGTCGGTGAAAAAAAGTACATCCTGCTGCATGATCGGGGACTCATGAAAGTATCGCCACCAATACCAATAGCTTATTTGGGGGTGAATCCCAGTTAGTAAGGGGTTTATAGCGCATATATGTATATATATACATATATATATATTTATATATATATATGTATATATATACATATATGTATATATATACATACATATACACATATATATAGTCCATATAACTGTAAACGGTGATATTTCCATATATAACCGGCATCTACTTGGGATGAGCATCTCCCGGATTCTCCCGCACACAGCAATTTATAGCTGGCAAACGGATGTTCATCCCCTGGTTCAAATAGGAAAACATAGGTCTTGACCTCTCAACAATTCTCGCCGCCACCAGAGCTTTGCGAATATTTTTTGTCTGCTAGGTACTTGGTGTATCCTGCTTCCTTAGGAGTATAAACCTGGTCGTCCTCGTGTGGCTGGGGAAATCTACTTGTAGAATGAGGCAAACCCAATGCTTCGATCATAAAACCATCCACAAATGGGGTTGATGCTAGTAACGGGATGATGTTTCTCATGACCTCCTTTTATGATTGGCTACTGGGATGGTGGCTCACTGTATTTGATATTCGGGAGATGAGATGATACAACCTCGATAGACCCATTGGAAAATTCACGAAAATTCCGTTTTTCATGATTTAATCCTGTTTTCTGCTGCTCGACTCTGAACCCTGCTTTTGATAAATCACGGCTCTTTTCATCATGTTTCATCCATGTAGCAGCGGATGGATCAGCAAAGCGGTTTTCTATTTTCCAATCGTTTTTTTTCTTTTTTTCGCCATGACTAGCCCATATATCTAACAATGATTAGCCATTATTCACGAAGATGTAACATTGTGTAACCATTGTTACTACCCATAATAAATCATGATTAACCATTTGCTGGTCATGATAGACTACTCTTTACAATCATTATTTGCAATTGTGAACACATTATATATTATTATTATTATTATTATTTTGAATCCTAGGCAAACCATGAATCACCACAATTAGCTATTAACATTCATTCTGATGAATATTAGATGTTATAGATGTTATATTTTAGATGTTATGTTATAATCTACCACGATAGATCTTATCTGGTTGGTGGTTTGGAACATTTTTTATTTTCCATAATATATGTGATGTCATCCTTCCCATTGACTTTCATATTTTTGAAGATGGTTAAAACCACTAACCAGATAGGGTTTTCAAGTCATCTTACTATGAATAACTGAATATATAGATTATAACATCATACCATTATAGATTATAACATCATTTATAATAGATAATAATGGATCTTATAATCTACCACAATTTGCCATCATTTCATCTCCACTTCTCCAGGCGCAGCGGCACCGCGGCGTCCCGCGGAGGGCCTTTGATGGCGTGGCCGAGCGCCTTGGCGTAGACGGTCTTCCATCGCTAGGAATTCATGGGGATTTCACCATGAAACATGGGAATTTATAACGGTGAATAATGATTAATGATGGTTATATAATCATGTTTAATAATCTTTAATAATGGTTAACAATGGTTAATGATGCTTAATGATGGTTAGTAATGGTTAATAATGGTTAATGATGCTTAATGATGGTTAGTAATGGTTAATAATGGTTAATGATGCTTAATGATGGTTAGTAATGGTTAATAATGGTTAATGATGCTTAATGATGGTTAGTAATGGTTAATAATGGTTAATGATGCTTAATGATGGTTAGTAATGGTTAATAATGGTTAATGATGCTTAATGATGGTTAGTAATGGTTAATAATGGTTAATGATGCTTAATGATGGTTAGTAATGGTTAATAATGGTTAATGATGCTTAATGATGGTTAGTAATGGGTATCATGGTTATGATGCTTAATGATGGTTAGTACTGGTTAATAATGGTTTATGATGCTAATGATGGTTAGTAAGGGTTGAATAATGGGTTAATGATGCTCTAAATGGGGTGAGTAGTAATGCGTTTAAAATAATGGTTAATGATGCTAATGATGGTTAGTAATGGTTAATTAATGGTAATGATGCTAATGCTGGTTAGTAAATGGTTAAAATGGGTAATGAGGTTAATGATGGGTAGTAATGGTAAGAATGGGTAATGATGCTTAATATGGTTAGTAATGGTTAATTAATGGTTATGTGCTTACGATGGTTAGTAATGGTTAATAATGGTTTTAATGATGCTTAATGATGGTTAGTAATGGTTAATAATGGTAATGGATGCTTAATGATGCGTTCAGTAATGGTTAATAATGGTTAATGATTGCTAATGATGGTTAGTTAATGGTTTTGTAAGATGGTTAATATGCTTAATGCATGGTTTAGTAATGGTTATAATGGTTAATGAGTTAATGATGGTAGTAATGGTTAATATATGGGTTTAATGATGCTTAATGATGGTTAGTAATGGTTAATAATGGTAATGATGCTTAATGATGGTTAGTAAGGTAATAATGTAATGAGGCTTAATGATGGTTAGAATGTTATAATGTTAATGATGCGTCATGATGGTTAGTAAATGGTTAATAATGGTTAAATGATGCTAATATGGTTAGAGTAATGGTAATAATGGTTAATGATGCTAATGATGGTTAGTAATGGTTAATAATGGTTAATGATGCTTAATGATGGTTAGTATGGTTAGTAATGGTTAATAATGGTTAATGATGCTTAATGATGGTTAGTAATGGTTAATAATGGTTAATGATGCTTAATGATGGTTAGTAATGGTTAATAATGGTTAATGATGCTTAATGATGGTTAGTAATGGTTAATAATGGTTAATGATGCTTAATGATGGTTAGTAATGGTTAATAATGGTTAATGATGCTTAATGATGGTTAGTAATGGTTAATAATGGTTAATGATGCTTAATGATGGTTAGTAATGGTTAATAATGGTTAATGATGCTTAATGATGGTTAGTAATGGTTAATAATGTTTCAACAAATGCTGATTGAACCATGAAAAAAGGGGGATCAATCCCACAGGGATGGGATTTTTGATCAAACACGGGGGAGTTTCACAAAAAGTTTGGTAGACGAAACCATTAGGTAGGGATGACACAGTGAAACGATGCATATGGGCTGCTCATATATATATATATATATGTTCTGGTTTTGTGGTTTGGAACATTTTTTTATTTTCCCGTATATTGGGAATTTCATAACCCCAACTGACGAACTCATATTTTTCAGAGGGGTGGCTCAACCACCAACCAGTATATATATATATATACACCAATATATATATATATATGTATGTCTTCATACCTGTATAACCTCCCCTCAATGTGAACCCAGTAGTTCGGTGGATATCTTGGACAAATCGAATCCAAATGTCGCGGGGAGCCCACCTGGCCGACTGGGCCACTGGGGTCCATTTGAATCTTTGAAACCCTTTGGAAACCTATCTTCAGAAGGGAACATTTATGGGAAACCCTTATGAAGATAGCCTATATAACTGTACAGGAAAACATATTTATGGGAAACATCCTATTTATGGGATATCCTATTTATATATCATTTATGTTGGCTGGTAAGAAACATGCTTTCTGGAAAACACTTTTCCTGAAACACTCGCAGTGAAAGTACCCCATTTGTATCCACTTGTGGACGATCTTTACATCAAAAGCTGATTCAAACAACAGTCAGGTTTGGTAAACGGAGGTATTGATGGAAACAACTTATTAACCATCATTAACCATCATTAACCATCATTAACCATCATTAACCATCATTAACCATCATTAACCATTATTGATTATCATCATCCTGTGTCATCAACCATGGCTTGCTGGAAACTCCCCCGAGCGGCTAGATGGCGGGGATCCACGGTTGGATTTCCCAAAAAAACCATGGCATCATGGTGCTGATGACTCCAGGTTGTGTTATCGTTGATCAAAATGCCATTGTTGTATCAGCTATACTAATATTAGTACTATACTTAATATTCATAGTACATCTGCTCATTGTCCATGAAATTCATATACTGAATCAATAGGGTTCATATTCCATTCTATCATATTATATCATCATATCCCCATTCTCTTCACCATTCGCACAAGACGTACGACAGCGTCAGGTTTCTACCTTTGCTGGTAGCCGTCACTCCGGCCTTAGTATATCAACTCGCAGGTGCGATGGGCAAAAAAAACCCTGCAGGATGGCCCCCCCCAAGTGATGTGAACGTTGGTTTATAAACCATTATAACCCCCATTGGCTAGTTTGTTAAATCTACCATCAACTCTAGACTTCAGCCACTTTTTTCAGGCAACTGGACGCTATCTTGGGGGGCCCATCCTGTGGTGATTTGTAACACTTGGCAAAGTGGAAAATTGATGAACAATGGCCCACGAAAATAGAGGTTCCATTTTTGTTGGTGATTTTTTTCATTGGCACTTGCTTCACTTGCTTCCACCTTCATTTTGAGGGAGGATTGATATCCTGAAAATAGATGATTTGCCTGTTAAAGATGGCGATCTTCAATAGCCATGGCACAAATTGCTGGAGGGCAGAGGTTTTGGATGGGGGTATGACGATTGACTGACTAGCAACCCTCAAAAAGATGTAGAAATTCGTAAAATCCGAGACTCGATTTTCGTAATACATTGAACCTTTTCCGAATCTTTTCTTGAATTACTATAACTTAGAACCAATACTTAGTGAGGTTGAGAACTGTTGAGACTATAGCTAGTTCTCCGGTTTCAGGTTTCAAGATCTCCAGAGATCCGTTTCTCTGGTAGCTCCATTTTTCAAAGGCTTCACAGCTCCGTTCCATCATCCCGCCTCGGCATTTCTAGGGTCCACAGGATCCCTTGCAGCGATTTGCTGCTCAGGAGAAGCAAAGGATCCAGGTGTTCCACGGAGGAAAGACGTTGCTTGGCTGGACAAAAGAGAATCTGGGTAGGTGAGAATGTTGGATATGGCTAATGACTGGTTGGTGGTTTCAAACATTTCTTATTTTCCATTTCATATATGGGATGTCATCCTTCCCATTGACTAATAGTTTTCAAGATGGTTAAAACCACCAACCAGATGGTTTTGGCCTTTCCAGGTCAGTTTTTAGCACATGGACAGCCACAACAGTTTCCAGCAAGATGTTCATTGTCAAGACTTCCTGGACGGACTGCTTTGTCTTTGGGTCCACCTGAAACACTGGATGAACTGACGTACCAACTCACTAACTAACTAACTAACTAGCTAGCTAGCTAGCTAGCTAGCTAGCTAGCTAACTAGCTAACTAGCTAACTAGCTAACTAGCTAACTAGCTAACTAGCTAACTAGCTACCTATCCAGCTAACTATCCAGCTAACTATCCAGCTAACTATCCAACTAACTATCCAACTAACTATCAAACAAACTATCCAACTAACTATCCAACTAACTAACTAACCCCATCCCCCTAATATTAAAGACCTCATTAGAAACCATGGTTTCATAGGGAATTTCTGCCGCCAAGGTGAAGCCCTGGAGCGAAGTGATGGAACTCTTGACCTCCGATGTTCTCACCAGGCGACCGGCAGCCGATGATAGAACCAGTTGTAGAGGACCAGCCAATAGATTCTATATTTCTATATATATATATACAGTTATAGTTATGTATATAGTTATATATATATGTATATATGTATATACACACTACATTGATCTATATTGCACATAAAGATTGGGATACAAAAAGATTGGGATACAAAGTCGTGACATAGATCTTGATCATGTTGACCCCCCACCCGCGGCCAGGATCCGCAAGCCCTTGGTGTTCCTGAATCTGATCTCTGCGGTGCCCCGACTGGAAAGCCTTGATTTTTCATGGCCAAAAAAAGCAGGTTGGAGGATGGTGAACATTTCATGGTTTGATTTCACCATTCAACCATGTCTGGTTGGAAATGTTTGTTTTCATGGCAAAACCAGACATTTCATGGTTTGATTTCAGCTATGGACACTGGATGAACATGGCCCGTTTGTAGATGACATACCTATTAAACATGGTGATTTTTAATATCAATGTTAAATTTGCTAGTTCTATTTGGGCTCCCGCAGTTGTCCATGGGCCGTTATGGAATCAGACCAGAATGAGGACAGCCCCTGAACCGTGCCTGCCCATGGACATTTCCTAGTCAAATTGACTATAGATCATTTCTCTAAGAAAAGTTGGGATAGGTTAAACCAGTTAAACCATACTTTAAAAGAATACCTTAGATCTATCTTTATATATATATATCTATATCTATATCTAGATCTATATCCATATATATATATATATAGATTCTTTTTTTGCATTGCTAGGTTAAACTACCAAAGGGTGATGTCAAAGGATCCCCAGCATGTTGTGATGGAAGGCTGGTGACATGTCCATTGGTTGGTGGTGCCTGAAGGACGGATGGGTTTATAAACCCACAAACTAATATCGCGGGCAAGTGAAATCACCATGTTGATTGTTCATTCCCAATTTCATGATGCTTAAAACCACCAACATAGCTTGGGGCACCACCATGTACAGCTGTTGGAAATGATTGGAGGTTGACTGGAGTTCCCTCGCTGTGTCCCTCACAAACATCACCTTGCAAGCGTTTCAGCACTATTTTACCCCCTCTTCACAGATTTTTCCCTTGTTTTTCTTGGTTTAAAGTTTACCATCGCTCAAAGTGGTGGCTTTCAATTCTGTGATGGCCCCCCTAAAGCTGATCTGTAGGTGATGTTTCACATTGTTTCAGCCCCCAAGAAACAGGAAGCACCACAAACTGAGGCGGTCTTCGCCTTCAATTTCTACATTTTACCTCCAGGAGTGTTCTGACCAGGGTCAGTGTGCGACAGATCCATGACTTTTTTTAAATGCCAGGTGATGGTGAAACAGCATGAAAAAAATCCCCATTCATGGTATAAAATACATGATGTATTGATATATTTGATAATTATATATATATATATATGATATGATATTTGTATGAGCTAATATTGTTATATAGCCTATTAATTGCTGATTTGAATCACTAGACTGTTGTTTCATAGATGCCAAACATTGGATTTTCGACCAACAGAGCTTCACGAAGCCGCTCATCAATGGAACATGCAGTTCATGATTCGCTGAGAAGATCATACTGGGCATGGATAAACGGATACTGGGTTTCCCATGGTTTCCCATGGTTTTTTCATGGTTTCCCATGGTTTCCCATGGTTTCCCATCATACTGCAAATGATCATCTAGAAATGCTGGCATTTCCATCATTCGCTGAACTCATCAAATGTTTCATCAATTGCTGCGGATGTGACGTATCGGTTGTGAGTCACTCGGTCATTTTCCTGGAGAAACCACCACCACATCTATGTACCCGACCTGGTTATGACTGTTACATAGCCATGGTTTTTTGATGGCCCTAATCGAAATAGATGGTTTACCGTTCTTAAAAATGCATGGTGGATCTTTCCAGTTCGCGAAGTGTGAATGTCATATCCAGATGGTAGATGTTTATCCAGTGATACGTTTGGTTTCAAAGACTTCTTTTCAATCCTGCTTTGGGATAATGATCCCAAATTTATTTCTTCTTGAGATCGCTGGCTCAATATGAAGTGAAGATCTACGAGCCTTAAGAGGGCAGAGATCCCGGCCTTCCTTTGATGTTGAAATTACTCACTACAACTGCTACTCACTAGTACCACCTACTAACAAGAACTACTAAATACTACCCTCTGGTTATTTAACATAGCCATGGAAGATGGCCCATTTATAGATGATTTTCCCATTAAAACCTCCATTTAGGGATTTTCCATGGCTATGTTAAATAACCAGATGGTAGTAACCACTACTCTTAGGGTTACTATTGACTACTACCCCCCGTGATGGCGTCACAGGACGGGGCAACTTCGTGTTTCCTGTGGAGGGATTCGTGGCCTTGACATTTTGCGTGGGAGTGCTGCTTGCGTGGCTGGGCCAGCAATGGGCTGACCAGGTTGTTAGAGTCAAGCCGGTATAGAAAAATATCATGGGTCAATCTTGGCTATAACTGCCATAACCAATGTTTTATAAGAGTCAACTGAGTTGATCAACTGAGTTGATCAACTTTGGTTTCTGAAAACAATATCAATGTTTTGTATAATCATTAATAGATTATTATATCAATGTTTTATATTATATCTTTTTTTTTTAAAATATTGGTTTATGATTATCATCAATAGTTGATTGAAAGAAAATGGCTCAATCGACAGTCACATTTTTTTTGGAAGCCGACGACGTCACGACGTGACCGATCTTCTCCAGGAGGATGGCCCTAAATTTTTTTGGCACCCTTCTCCCCGCCCCATCTCGCCGCCGTTCAACGGAGCAGGCAGCGTCTCAAAACGGCCAACCAGCGATTTCTCCGTGGAAAGAAAGCCTGGAGCGAGATAGTGAACGTGACCAGGACTTCATGGAGACTGATGCGGATGTGTGAAAATGAGGTGAACACCAGAAATTTATGGCCGTGTTTGGAAAATGATGATGAAGCACTTTCATTTTCCTGAGACTTTTGGTTTTCTGTCAACAGTTGACAAGAATTGGATAGCCTCTCAATTGTTGGGGAGACTCTTAAACGTGTTTTTCATTCATTTTTTCTAAAGCAATTGGGGGGGTTGTTGGAGAAACCCTACCCTCTGGTAAACGAACAGTTCGCTATGTAACATCACCATCTTTAATCGGTAAATCAACGAACTAAATGGGTCATTTTCAATAGCTATCTTACATCCCATGATACCCTCTGGTAAACTAACATAGCTATTGAACATGGCCCATAGAAATCGTTGATTGATCCATGAAACATGGTTAAAAATGGTGGAATTTCCATAGCTATTTTGACATACCCAGAGGGGTAACAGAAGCACCACTTTTTGAGCTTGCAGGAACCTGAACCGTCAAGCGCATCTCTGGGCTGATCGTTCCTTGACGCCAAGAGCGGGCCTGGCTGGTACCCCTCTGGTAAACGTTTACATAACTATATATATATATAGAAAATCACCAATGTTTAATTGGTAAATCAACTATAAATATGACCATTTTGAATTGTTAGTTTGCCAGAGGCTACCTAGGGCAAACATACCAAAAAAAAACACGACAACCGGTTTCCCTATGAAAATGATCTACCAATAGTGGATTTTCCACATCTATGTTGGTTTACTGGAGGGTACCAATCCCTTGTTAGTGGAAGATCGAATGATGGTAACCCCCCCCTTTATGAGTTTTGGTGTTTAAGTCGGCAACTGTAAATCCCAGGTGACAGCCAACATATTGAAGAGAAAACATGTAGGCAAATCATCCACAAATGGGAGATGTTCCAGCCAACCATGTTGAATTACCATAGAATCATAGAATCAGAAAGGTTTGGCAAAGGTTGACAAAGCACATGTAGAATTCAGGCGGCTATACTTTCTTGAAAGCTTGGTGACCACCAGTCACCATACCTTGATGGGCATGTACTGTGGCACCGTTCAGAACGGTTCCGAAATCCACACAGCTCAGTCTGGCTCGGCTACCAATTTATGGATGAAGACATCACATATTGTTGGTATTCCATGTGTCTTTGTTTATGATCTCGCCATGTCAATTGAATTTGCACTGACAGGCATATAGATTATTCTCGATTTTCCCCTGTATTTGGTACTTACTTGTTCGTTATTGCCCAACTGCAAACTGGCTAGTCATGGATATTCATATATCCCTCTTTTTTGACACACGGATCCTTGTTGGTCATCTCCCTGCGTCGAGTGGTTACAGTGTTCTTTGTATGTCCCCTTTGCTGGGTGATATCTGCTGGAGGTGCGACAAACATTGAAATGAAACTCAAACGACCCCAGAAAATGAGGCAATCTTGCTTGAAACATCAATTTGATGGCAGATTTGGGATTCATTTTCAACTATCTAGACTTTTTTGGTTGGTTTTACCTAATTAAAATATGGAGGTATCATCAGTAAAGTAGAGGGAGATTAAGCGGGAAAAAATAATGGAAACAACAATGCAGACATTATTTGGAGATGCACAAGAACACATTCCATATCAATTCGTTTAGTTCCAGCTTCTTCTGGCAACAATTGAGCAACATTTTCGACCAATGGATCATGTCCTGCCGCATCCAGCTGTGACATTCCTTGCCAGTCTCAAGGTGAGAGCTTTCTGGTCTTCTCTCGTTGGCTTCCGGCGTAGCTTGGATGTTCCACTGTGGGAGTGCAGGTTTCGTGGATGGTTTGTGGGTCAATCTTGAGCCACAAAAACCATCATGGGTTTTATGATCTTTAACTGCATGTTGTAAAGGATTGTAAAGGACTAGGTGAACTACTTTTTGCAACACGGACGAACCTTGATACGGATTGATATATGGATTCATCTTTCGCTACAACTTGTCTGTGGTTTTTATCCAAGCTCCAACATGAAGGGAAGCCAGTCGATGGAAAAAGTGTCCTGAAGATACATCCCCTAAAATTAAGATGAAACCTGAAAATTGGGATCCCAAAGATAGTTTGCTACTAAATGCTGATATTTTTGGGCTCCATTTTTGATTCAGGTGTATTGTTTGACTTGTTTGACATAAGACATAGAGACATCCATATGTTTCATGGGTAAATCATCCCTCTCGTTTTGCGGGGTACTGTCAATTCCAAAGCGTTTGATGCTGAACTCCATGGCGAGTCGTGAGGTTCCCCGCTGCGCTGCTGTGGGATCTGCGCAAGCTGCCCGAGGAGGAGCTGCCAACGGTGCTGAAGGATTCGCAGGGAGCTGGCGATCAGGCGGGGATATGTAGTGGGGATATCATGTGGTTAAAACAATGTAATAAACCACCCATGACTCGGAATGGTTTAATGGGAATGGTAAACATACCACCTATGAAAATGCTCATTGGGGGATGGTTTAGTATTGTTTTAGCAACATTAGTGGGGATATGAGATGAATAATGTGATATTGTGGTATATATATAATTATATATATAGAAGTGTTCAAAACAGAGATGAACATTTCACCCACAATAACCATTTGGATATCTCCTCATGATATCCCCATTATGGTTGGTTATTGTTGGTGAAATTCTCACTTCTGTTTTTGAACACCTCTGATAGATACCGTAAAATATCGCATTGTATCTTATATCTCCACTATATCACCACTCTATATATATATATATATACTTCCTGTTTTTTTTTAAACGTCGGGTCCGCCATTTTTGTTCGTTGGTCAAGAGCCAAGACTCTGATGGTGCAAAGATCGTTTCTGCCAGCTGAAGATTGGCGCACGTCTACAATGATTCTGTTGCTCAAAACCACATTTCGTTTGATTAAAAAGACAAAAACTTTCCGTTGCCAATCACAATCTTCCTGCTTGAACCACATGTTTCCATATTTTTCCCAATTTCTTAGCAAAATCTTGGGAATCACCAAGTTTTTGCCGGTGTTGTTTCCCTGCATCTTCTGCCGCCTTTGAGGCCACCTTGGGTCTGACTCAATTGGAAATGGATCAGGCGGGAACACCGAGAAATTGTTGGGTCAATTTATGGATGTTTTGCTGGTTATCAATGGTGAAATCAGTTTTTTTTGCTGATTTTGGGGACCATATTCAGACACCGAACTTTACCAGATGGATTTAACCCATATGAGAATTTCACCAACAGAACATGTGGGTAGCGATTCATTCAGGCTTTAATAGTGGTACCCTCCGGTAAACTAACATAACTATGGAAAATCACCATTTTTCATGGGAAAATCCACTATAAATGGTGACTTTCCATAGTTATGTTAAATTACCAGAGGGTATAGCAACAGCTCGAGTGGTATACCAACAGCATGTCCTATCCAGCTTCATCAGGACGACCAAAGGGACCAATGGATTGGTCCGAAGGGAAATTTCAACCATCAAAAATCAGACCCCGCAATTCCCAATGATACCCTCTGGTAAACTAACATAGCTATTGAAAATGGCCATTTATAGTGGATATCATGAGGATAGTCATAGGGGAATGGGGAATCCTGGGGATTTTACCCTCTGGTAAATTAACTTGTTGACCCTGAAAATAGCCGAGTTTTAATGGAAACTCATCTGAACCAACCCCGATGACTGCCAGGGTCGAACTGTTAATTTACCAGAGTGTAATTTTATCATCCTTTTCCCATTGATCATTGGATTTAAGGGAGAATCGAAACTTGGGTTTTTCCCTGGTTTTTCCTATGAAATAGAGGGGGCGTGACAGGTATCCCAATTTTGGGATGTTAACCATATTTGTGGGTTTACCACGGTTTACCACATTACTATATAATTATGTATATATATATATGTTTGTATCAAATTTCCCTGAAACCACAGGTTCTTTTTGCATGGTCCAAGGTGCTGACCCGCCCTGCCGGCTCCACAGCTGCGCTGTATGTCTTGCAGAAGCTGCATGTCTGGCGGCACAGAAAACGGAGAGTTGTGATGGGCAGAATTCGATTCGGAATGGCAATCAAAAAAGGGGGATTGTATGGGTCTGTAAATGTTGATGTTGTTGTTGATGATGTTGTTGTTGTTGTTGTTGCTGTTGCTGTTGCTGGGAACATGATGACAATCCACCGGAATTGGTTGTAGCCTATTTTCAGACCAACCCGCCAACCAAACACCATGGGATTTACTGGTTGCAACAGGAAACATCGGGATTTGATAAATCGGATGGCAGAGGGTTTCACTGCCAGAGATGTGGTCTGAAAGAAACACGTGATGGCAAAACTTGGGCTCGAGCCAAGAACTTCACCACCCGAAAAGACCGCCCAAAGCTGTGCCAACAAACAGTGACAAACAAGATGCATCAGCATTTTCAATAGTGGTAGGGACAGGTGGTAAACGAGTAGCCAAGGTGCACTACTCCTCGGAATAGTAGGGACTTGGTATAGACAAAAAAGTGACAAAAGTGTATCAGTAGGATGTCTCAGCACTGAAAGACCAACAGTCGTGGTGATGTAGCGGCGTTTTGTCGCTGAGAAAATCTTATGGACAGAACCAAGAAAGATTTAGGATTTGATTAGCAGAAATGGCGAAGAAAGTCCATGTGTTTCTTTGGGAGCAAAGTGCTCCAAGACTCATCACTGAGACTTCACACCACGTAGAGCTGAAGTGGTTGCATCCGTGTGAGTTGCAGCGCACATATTGGGTCACCCTCCAATGGAAAATCCCGCATTGATAAATGATAAATGAGTTCCTCATTTAGAAACCCTTTGATTACCGAACGGTAAAGCCCATTGGGAGGGACATGCACTGATTCACTTCCCTTTGCTGAAGCTTTGCCTACATCCTTGGTGCTTGACCGTCAGCTCAGTGGCTTAATGTCAAAAAACTATTTTTTTCCCTCAGACCAAAACTATGTCAAGACTCCAAGTTGTTTTTCTGGCAGATGAAGCCACTGTTTTTGCAGCTGAACCGGATGTTTGTGGGCGCTGGACTGACCTGTGTTCTGGTCAAATGAAAACTTTCCAGCTGAAACCTTTCTCCGCGACTAGACTGACAACTCCACACATTTGGCTTGACGACATTCTATTTTTTGCCATAAATGAGACAAAACATGTTTTTCATATTGGAGAGAAGATCTCCGTTATAATCCCCACTATATTGCCCAGGACGAGACAAACCATCCATGTTCTCCACAGCTTTTCTCAGGTCGTAGCTTCTAAGCTCCAATTGGCTGAACCTCAAAGCTCGGTACTGCAGCAAGCCTTGCTGCTGGGATTGAGAACCAGGGTGCTGGGATGGACGGGGACGAAAAAACATGGAGAAATTTGTGATTTTCACCGAGAAAAACCTATAAAAGGTGGGTTTCTTTTTGCCTGTAACCTTATGGATTCCACCGCAAGTGGAGATCTTTTGTCTGAGGGCACCAACCACAACTTGGATAAAACCCAAACCGGAGACTTATACAAACAGGGGAAACAATCAACGAAAGCAACCAGAAAAAAGCGGGGTGCAACCAGACGGGAGGATTGCACCGAGATCTGGGCAGTACCGAAACATCGGAAAATCGGTCCTTGGCCCATTGCAATGGCTGACTGTCGGTCAGCCGGACCATGGATTCCTCGAGTGAAACAGGGCGAAACAGAACTTTGGTACGCGTCCAAATTCTTGGACTGTCCAAATTGGATTTATCATCATTTGCCACACCAAACTTGCCGCAAGATCGGGTATCTCATTTTTGGGGACAAAAGCATATCCATTATGAGTTGGTGATGTACACTGAATCTCGCTGGCTTTTCATCCCTCTTTCCATCTGCGCCCACCGTATTACCGGGCCATCTCTGTCTTTCCAAGGTCCAAATTGTCAGAAGCCGTTGAGGCATGCCAGAAGGAGAAACACCAGGCTGGAGATCTAAAGCAGGGGATGGTAGTTGTAGCCCTGGCGAGGCTCAGTGCTGACAGATGTGTCACGCTATGGGTTAGGTGTCCTGTCCTTGGGGATCTTGGGGCCTTGGGATGAACTTCTATAATTTTCATAGGGACTCTTCAATAGCCATTAGTTCAGGATTCCTGTGGGACCACCATTGATCCCATCCAACTTGATCCTAGCCTTTGATGAAGTGATGTTGGAATCAGATGATAAATCATATATATATATATATGCAATATTATATCACATGATATATGGATAGGCTGATATATATATATATATATACATACTGTATATAATATTACCCTCTGGTTACTTAACATAGCCATGGTATAGATGGCCCATAGAAATAGATGGTTTACCTAATAGCATGGTGATTTTCCATGGCAAACTGTTAGTCATTACCAGAGGGTATATCACTCATGGCCAGGTGAGCATATATATATATATACACACACACACTGTACCATTTGGTTATTTAACATAGCCACGGAAAATCACCATGTTTAATAGGTAAACCATCTATTTCTATGATCCCAGATGATCTCAGTGATCTTCCCATCTCAGCCTATCATCCAGAAGCCGATCAAAAAATCCCAGGCCTTACCGCAGATCTACCACTACTCCGCGGGTGGCTGGGACGGCGAAAATTCGTGATATCCAGGAGGATTTCCAGGGGGAGTTCACCATGAAACATGGGAATTATAATGGTGAATAATGGCGAATCATGTTTAATAATGGTTAATGATGGCTAATAATGGTTAATCATGGCTAATAAGGGGGTTAATGGTGAATCATAATGGTTAATGGCAAATGGTGAATAATAGTGATGAAAGTTCGGAAAGGTCATTCATGGGATTTACCATCTAGGCATTCCCGTGGCTGGGACATCGCCCAACTCAATGGAGCTTCTACTGGGAAAATCATCTAAAAATGGGTGGATAAAATCCAGCAAGCCACGTGGCTGATTGCCGGAGGATCATCTAAGTACATACTTTACCCTCTGGTAAACATACAAAAAGCTATTGAACATGGCCATTTATAGTTGATTTACCCATTGAAAATGGTGATTTTCCATAGTTATGTTAGTTTACCAGAGGGTAGCGGATTTTTTGTTGGTTCTTAAAGATGAACAAGATATGAACGAATAGTGGACAACTATGTTCAAGGTAGTCTACACCCTCTAGATCCCAATTTACACCCTATCCTGCTTTCTATTGGCAACAACAAGTCACCTTTACCAAATTGGAAAAAAACATCACGAATCTCCGCTGTGCAAGGATTCGTTTTCCTGTGGCTGGCGTTGCTTCCCTTCATTTTGCCAACTCAACTGCAGGCCGATGACTGGGACAAACAAACAAACTGTACTGTGGTACTGTGGATGCGAAATCCTGCACCAGTAGATGGTTTATCTCATGATAATTCCATTATTTCCAGCGTTTCATAGTTGCCACTAGTGACCAAGTGGCACCTGAGTTTGAGATTGGAGGTTTCATCACTGAAAACCCCACAGGTGGGCGTAGTGCTTGCGCAGCAAGTGCTGGCCTTTGGCTTGTTGGGTATCTTGGCTTTTTCGGAGTGAGCCTGGCTGTTGGGCGGCCCACAAGACTTGGATGATGTACCGCTTGTTGCTGTATCCCGGGGGATCCAAATCAAATCACAAGCTGCATGGAAGCTCCCAACTGGGCCATTCCAGCTGGAGGAATTGAAGATGTGACCATTCAATTGGAGGAGCTGGGATGTCGGGTGGTGAAAACAACCAGCGTCTGGGAAGACCTGGGATTGGAAGAGGATTCTTTGGGCTTCAATGTTCATTTTGGAATTTGGAGACCTGGGAAATTGGTCGTTTGAGTCGTTTTGGATTTTGGGCCTTTCGACATGGTGAAGATCAGTGGTCAATATGGCTCTAGGCTTTCCAGCCATGTATTCACTGGATCAGTATTACACGAAACTATAGTATTTTCCATCAAAGATAAGAATTTCCTATATATATATATATTTCCCCTAACCTTGTGCAGACAGTTTTACTGCACATTTTAGTGAACCAGAAGATGCCTTGAGGTCCCAACTTCATTACATTTGCAGAAAAACACCCCCCAAAACTGATGTATTGCTCTTGGAGAGGTGCCCCACACGGCCCCACAGTGTTGGGGTCACCGATTTGGGAGTAGTCTTGATCCATGGGCACATGTGACATCTTTCAGGGCATACCTCAAATTGATAGGACCAAGAGATTCAAATCTTAGTTTTTGGGTTGAACACGGTCCCACTTATATAGTCCCTCTGAATATATTAAAACGGGACACGCCAATGAATAGATTCAATACCTTCCACATTGGGGGATATTTGATCTTAGTTATTAGTTTGGAACCCGACATGATTTTCTAATTATCACTATGACATGTCATAGGTTATATATCATCAAATATCATTACAATATATATCCCATCATACCCCCATGAAATATCCCAATTGTATCCCCGCTGTATCCATTAAACACAAGCAACAAAATCCGAGAAGCAGTCCCAATTGGTTGGCTAAGCGGCTAACAATTGTTCCACATCTTTCCTATTTGCGAAAATTTCTGAGTAACATCTTCCTGATTTTCTAGTTACCCTCTGGTAAACTAACGTAACTATGGAAAGATCCACCATTTTATAGCTGGGTAAATCACTATTTCTATGGCCATCTTTAATAGCTATTTTGACATAACCAGAGGGTACATTTGTTTCTTTGTCGATGGAAGCTGGAGATGCACAGGAGCCCTTTGCGGTACTCCCCATGGAGGGGCCCTGCACCTCTCTCGCCAGCGAGTCTCAGGCCTGGATGAACCATCCATGAAAACCTGCAGGAAAACCAGCGTTTTGGGGTACGTTTTGGGGTGCCTAGGGTACCAGGGTTTTGATTTTGATATCCAGATATTTCTATCTTATGATATCCAGATATGCAGATTTTGATATTTCTATGATTTTGTTATCCTATGTCTTGCGTAGCATTTTGCATCCCACGTTTCTTTTTTGGTTGTGTTGCTTCATTCCCAATGAGATTCCTGCATACGACGAACATGACCAGGCCCTGCGAAGCAACTGGAGGAGGAGGGGCCAGCGCTCAGTCTATTCCGGAAAAATACCCTTTGGCAAATTGCCATATTTTTATAGGCAAATCGCTACACATGGCAATTTTTAATCGCTGTGTTGAATTACCGGAGGGTACCTGGTACAATTCTGGACATGCACGTCGTGACGACACTGGAATGATGCGAAGTGCGGGGAATCATCCTCGGCCTTATGAGAAGAACTATTTTACGGTAAGTGAATTATTGTAGGAATGATATTACCTAAATGATATCACCTATAATTCCTAACCTATAATGAGTATCATTTTCAGGTAAGTGATATCAGCCGGAAATGATACTCATTTTTGGGGAATTAGAGAGGTGATATTTATCCATGATATCCCCATGATGTTCCATCATAAAATATTCCCATGATGGCTTCCCCACTACATCCCCATTACATGTCAATGACCGTTATTTCATGTTATTTCATCCCAATCTTGGGACTTCCTGTAAACTGGCTGCTTATCCTCCGACAGTGGAAAGTTCGTAGCTCAGCATCCAAAGTGAGCATACTATGTTCGCATCTTGGCTTTCAGATCTTGATTGTCTGGAATATTCTATTCTGGTTGGTGGTTTCAATCATTTTTTATTTTCCATTTCATATATGGGATGTCATCCTTCCCATATCTTCCCATTGACGAACTCAATCATTTTTCAAGATGGTGAATTTGCACCACCAACCTGCCAGCTAGTGTCCATATTATATATATATAATGATATGATATATTTATATATATATATTTACATGTCGAACATCTCACAGATCCAGGATGCGGAAGGGCCTGGAACGTCCCAAAGCCAAGGAGTCGGTGTTTTTCGGTGTGTAGTAAGTTGGCCAAGGTTTAGCGTTTGGCCCCAAGAAAGATGGAGATTTCAGATTCAACCAAAACATCTACCCTCTGGTAATTTAACTTAGCTATTGAAAATGGTGATTTATAGTGGATTTTCCCATTAAAAATGGTGATTTTCCATAGTTATGTTAGTTTACCAGAGGGTAGAGTGGTTACTGACTATTCCACTGTGGATTGGAAAGAAACGAACATGGAAGGTCTGACCACCAGCAACGAATATTTTATCTAGCAAACCGTGTGACGATACGACGAATGTGACAAGAATCCGTGCAAAATTTCACCAAGAACTACCATGAACTACCTTCCGCCTTGTACGTTTAATGATCGAGTCTGTATATGGGACACCATCCCGATTTTTTTCCATCAATTCAGGTTGGTGGATCGTCATGATTCATGTAGTTTTATTGGTGGACACACTCCTTTGATATTAGAGGGATTACAGTGATGAGTACATACAAGAAAGCTTTTTTACCCGGGCCATGTTGGTGTTTTTCCGAAACCAATGGTGTTTTGAGCATGTTGGATCCCGGATCGTGTTGCTGCTGGACAACTTCTCGTGAAATTCTTCAGCATTCCTGTGATTGTCCATGTACCCTCTGGTAAACATACAAAAAGCGATTGAACATGGACCATTGAAATAGTGGATTTACCCATTCAAAATGGTGGATCTTTCCATAGTTATGTAAACGTTTACCAGAGGGTAGAACACTGGTCAAAAACTCTTTCTTCACCAGTGATTCCTCCCATCACACAACCAGTTGTGGTTTCTGGGCGATGAATCTCGCGGAAAAATCGCCCCCAGATCCCAACTTCGCGCCATCAGGAGCCGCCACAGAAATACTCCTTGGGGTTTCCCCGAAAAGACCGGGTCTTTCCCTGCCCCCTGGACGACACGGCTGGGGTTTGGAGAGGAGTTTGGAGGGATTTCGGAGGTTTTTGTCCGCCCCAAATGAGACTTTTTTTGATGAAAAATAGGAAAGTGCAGCCGAAATATATTTTGAGAATTTGAAGATTTTGAAATATCCTATATTCCCAAGTTCTATCTTATGAATTCGACATTGCCTCTGCAAGAGCAGGGCACTTGAAATGATCGAATTCCCTGTGTATGAGGAGGTAATGATTGCTTCTACTGTGATTAAGAATGACCACGGATGACAGGATAAGCTGGGATGTTCTCCACTTACAAACTATTGGATCCTAAATGTCAAGCAACATCCCCTTTGGTGGACTTGGCAATTTGGAATCGTAGTCTTACGAATTTAATTGATGGAAAATCTACAGGTTTCCCCTGCGTGTTTGTGGCTGAAAACCATGGCTTCCTGTAATTGTACGAAAACCTTACGATTTAAAACAATCCCTTGAATGTTTTGAAGAGTTGGAGGAAACGATCACTGGCATCCGAGGTTTGCCTGTTGACAAGCAACAATCAATGGTCACGTCGAGAAACAAAGCTGTTAGAAAGCTGGGACCAAAATGTGAGTTAGAACCCAAGCTACCGTGTAGAGATGAACAATGATGATTATCCATAAATGCCATACTGATACTGGTTGGTGGTTTGGAACATGGCTTGTATTTTGCATTTCATATATGGGATGTCATCCGAAACATTGACGAACTCCATCATTTTTCAAGATGGTGAAATTGCACCACCAACCAGATCATTATTGGATGATTATCTACCCTCTGGTAAACGTTTACATAACTATGGAAAGATCCACCATTTTGAATGGGTAAATCCACTATTTCAATGGTCCATGTTCAATCGCTTTTTGTATGTTTACCAGAGGGTACATGGACAATCACAGGAATGCTGAAGAATTTCACGAGAAGTTGTCCAGCAGCAACACGATCCGGGATCCAACATGCTCAAAACACCATTGGTTTCGGAAAAACACCAACATGGCCCGGGTAAAAAAGCTTTCTTGTATGTACTCATCACTGTAATCCCTCTAATATCAAAGGAGTGTGTCCACCAATAAAACTACATGAATCATGACGATCCACCAACCTGAATTGATGGAAAAAAATCGGGATGGTGTCCCATATACAGACTCGATCATTAAACGTACAAGGCGGAAGGTAGTTCATGGTAGTTCTTGGTGAAATTTTGCACGGATTCTTGTCACATTCGTCGTATCGTCACACGGTTTGCTAGATAAAATATTCGTTGCTGGTGGTCAGACCTTCCATGTTCGTTTCTTTCCAATCCACATTGTTATCCGAGCCATTTTGGTGTTTTTGTCAGCCGCGTCTCCCAAGGCTATCCAGATGAGACACTTGGATGCCCTTCAGGGTGGGCTGTTGGCCAGGAATAGAATCAGTGGAAGGAAGGAAGCAGTGGCTGTTTGAATGGCTTGATAGGGTTATGTAAATCTATATAATATGGTTATATGATGTTATGATATATGTAAATTCATTAATATAAATGATTTGTACTTTGCCAGGCTTTTTGTGGAATGAGAAAAATACACCATAGACGAAGCAGTTGCCCAGTTCAGGAGGGAAGCGGGCAAGGACGACGAGGTGATCCTGCTGAAATGACGAGATCTTTTTTGTCAGCGCTGATCTCTCCGCTGATTTGGTGCACTGGTGATCCAGATTTGAGTCTCTGGTTGATGGTTTGGAACATGGCTTTTATGACTTTTCATATATTGGGAATGTCATAACTGACGAACTCATAATTTTTCAGAAGGGTTGAAACCACCAACCAGGTCTTGTTGGTGACAAGAAACTGAACCGCTGGTGCCCACGGCCACGGCCGAACTGGCGCCCGGAGGTGGTGGACAATGTTTGACACAGCAACGAAGGGACCGCTTCTCGACTCTGGCGAATGGAGAAGAACGGCGAGGCTGCAACATGGATGAGAACGGCTCCATGCAGACCCTGACCAAGACATACCAAGACTGTCAACTGGAGATGGCCATATCCCACTACCGCCTCGCTCTGTGATGCAAAGATCCGCGGCGCCGTTGGGTCGGTTCTGTGGCTGCTTCATGTTTTTTTGATAGCTGGGTTAGTGCAGAACTTGAATTCAAGTAGCTAAAACCTACTGTAAATAGTGAGAACTGTGATGGTCCTTCAAGTAGACAACTGAATGGGGATTCAAGGCTGCTGGCGATTCAGTATCTTTAGTGTCTCCGTGGGTGTCTGCTGCAAAGGATTCTGCTCAGAAGTTAAAAAAGTCACCCGCAATCATCAGTGGGTGATCAACCAGTGACACACCAAGTGTAGCTGGCTCAAACTTCTTCACCTTCAAACTGGAACCAGCAACAATTTTGTGTCTCCACTTGGAACCCATCAGGCAGATACCAGCAGAATTGAACGGAGTTTTTGGCCAATATTCCTGCAACCAAGAATGGCTTTGATTTTGGATTCGAAATGAAGATAGCAAGAGATACGCCCTTGAAAAAGTGGGTCGAATCGATTTTCACAGAAAAGCAATACATAAGCCCCAAACAGTTCAATGGTCTTCAACCGGTTTCTTGTGACATCCCTAAAATCAGCCCAGATCAAAGTAGTTTCAGTAGTTTCCTTCTTTTTGTTCCCCTAAAACATCACATCTTCACCCCAAGACTTAAGCTTTGGGAAGTTTAGGGCACCATGCTTCTGCCATGGTGCCGTGGCGTGCCGCGGCCTGCGCGTTCGCACTGCTGGCGGATGCGGAGCGCCCGGAGGCTCCGCCTCGGGCGCCACGGGTGTTGCTGTCCAGACCCAGACAGGCGGCAGGTGGAGCGATGGCAGCGGGGAGGTTGGGAAGTTACTCTTCAGTCGTTTCTGACATGGAAAAAAGACTACCCTCTGGTAAACGTTTACATAGCTATGGAAAATCACAATTTTGAATGGTAAATCACCATTTAAATTACCAGAGGGTATGAAAGTAGATCAATCATAGTCACTTCAAGACGAGTTTTCAAGATCTTTTTGAATGTTGGGGGGATTTAAGCGGCCAAAACTGGGGAGTTCTTTTCACAACAACAGCGATGTAGCAACCGATGTAACTACAAAGTTGGAACCAATGTGAGGATGGTTGACAGGGTCTTGAGAATATCTGATAGGATATTTATTCTGGTTGGTGGTTTGGGACATTTTTTATTTTCCCCAATAGTTGGGATGATGATCCAATCTGACTTTCATATTTTTCAGGGGGGTAGGCTCAACCACCAATTTCTATTTTGTTTGATTTAACCAAGTAATTTTGATGTTGGTGAACTGAGGGATTGGTGAAGATCCAAGGCCCTGGGAAGCCTGAGAACCACTGATTTGAATCACCGATCTGACCCTCTGGTTATGTCAAAATAGCTATTGAAAATGGCCATAGAAATCGTTGATTTCCCTATTAAAAATGGCGATTTTCCATAGTTATGGGACAGTTTACCAGAGGGTACTTCTTAAGTTTCCATTTTGTGGGGTACTCAGTTTTAGACCCATCAGATGGAGATGGACTTCCATCATATTTCTAGGGATTTACTTGGCACGTGTTGAAAGGCGGGAACCTTCAAAGCGACTTTTGCTTTGTTTGTTGGCACAAAAATTGGGTGTGCCACTTGGATGTTCCAGAAATTCCGTGGAACATGTGTCAGGTTCGAGATACTACCCCTTCCGCCAGCTGCTGGATTGCTACTCGGCTCCGGGGCCATCCGTTGCAGTTGCTGGACCTCCCAAAATCCGCATGCGTCTTGGGGGCGCTGAGGTTACACGACATTTCCGGGTCAACGGGGCAACTGGTAGGGCCAAGTCAAAATACACCATACACCAAAATGATTGCCTATACTTGCTAAAACTTGATCTGCCTAACGTCTTGATATGTCTTGATTGCATGAAACCTCCAAGTTTGACCCTGTGTTGGGTTCAGTATTGACATGTCATGCATGACTTCCAACCCCCTGGAAGCTCCGTTTGGCGTCAGCAGCGTCACTTAGGGAAGTGCATTTCAGCTACGATCAGTGGGTAAAGACCGATGGTATATAGCCCAGTTTCTAAGTTCCTAAGATTATTAACATCCTCCGTTCAAAAGCTCATAACCCCAGCCAGATGAATCTAGGAATGGCAAGTTGCTTCTCAAATCCTACATTTTCAGACACTACTGGATAACCCCCCAGCCAGTATCCGATAAAAATTCTCGGTTCTACCACCATTTTCAGATGATTTGATGCCTTTTTTGCGAGGTGAAGGGTCCAACTTTTCAACCCCCTGGCGAAGCTTCCGCGAGAAGGTCGCGGCCAATGCACGGGAAGGCGATGGTGAATTGCTGTGGGGAAAGGAAGGGGTTCGTGGTGAATGTGTCACTGGGGAAAGGAAGCTTTAAAAAAAAAACGGGAGGAATCTTCATCATTTACATGCACGGTTTGGCTATTTTGCCGGGAAAAATGATGGACTTGGGGTAGATATTCCGCGATGTAGCAGTGTTTCACCCAAACATTGGCAATTTTCATAGCCATGCGTTGAAGCCACTTACAAATGGGATATGTGACCCAGCTATATTTGGGTCAGCCAATTGCAAGTGGTGGGGGACCTTATGATCAACCACTAGATTTGGGAGGATTTGGGTATACCCTCTGAAAATTTTCCACGTTGTTTGCTATGGAACATCGCCTAAAACACGGTGATTTTCGATATATATATATAGCATTATAATTCATTATATAGCTATATCAAATTACCAGAGGGTAATTTGCTTTTTGTCAATGGCTCACGGTGTCCATCACCTGGGTAACCCGTGGGGTCAGGTTTCCCTGTGGATGCCGAACTGCTGACATGGGCAAAGCAGATCCATTCGATGTGGGAGGATGAAGTTCGGATGATTTTAGAGCGGGCTGGGAGATACCCTCTGGTAAACGTTTACATGGCTATAGAAAATCACGCTTTTAAAATGCAAAACATCTATAAACGGAACATTTTCCATAGCTTTTTGTATGTTTACTGGAAATCCATTGGAAATCCATTGGATGGCGAATCCAGAAAGTTAGGATGAGATCCAAATCACCAAGAAAAGCCAACTGAAGTGATTGTAGCAATTGTAGCACCTTATAAGAATGGATAGAATGGATAGAATGGTACCCTAAAATAGCTGGTTAATGGATGGCAATTAATATGGATAGTAATTCATGATAGTAATATGAATCACCATCCATCAATTACCGTTAATGGATGTATTTAAAACTCAGCAAACTGCTTCTTTTCCAAGAGGTGCGAACATCCTGGAGGTTTTCCCTCGGGGCAGGAGGGATGGTGCCGTGCTGATGCTGGTAGCTAAGATTAAATACCCTCTGGTAAACTAACAGTTTGCTACGGAAAATCACTATATATTTTAATAGGTAAATCAACTATAAATTGACCATTTTCTATAGCTTTTTGTATGTTTACCAGAGGGTATCCCATAATATATTAGACACCTACCAGGTAGCTAATCTTAAGATCTACTTTTTCAACATGAACCAGCAAATCTTGTGCAAAAATCAGAGTTCTGCCCATTGGAAAGGCCAAGACACAGGGCATCCCCCGCGCAATGAGACACACCATATTCAGAAGCCAACAGGCCCAGTGTGAGTACCCAAAGTTCCAGTTTCTACTCCTCACTGGGGATCTGTCAGACCTAAGGTCCCTTACATGATGTATGGTTGTATTATTTGCATAAATTGATACATCGATTGCACGCAGGTGTATGTTACAAATTGACACACATATAATATATATATATGCTCTGAATAATGATGTATCAATACAAATATATCATTATTATATTCATTTATATTCATCACAATCAATTCACATATATAATGATATATATTCACACAGAATACGATCTACTATCATGATGCGCTTTCTGATGCATTTTCTGTGCACAGAGACTGAGACTCCGCTTCGACGCCCAGGTAGCGCCGTTGCGCAGCATGACCCAAGTGAAGGTCCTCACGCGGCAAAGCAGCGTGGAAGACCTGGGATGCTCGGCTGCAGATGGGGAGGAGATAGGAGGTACCCGGCCTGGTAAACATACAAAAAGCGACATAGAAAATGGCCATTTATAGTGAATGCAGATAAGACACGTACATCTGTGATTCATGTAGATATCAGCATACATGAACGTAAATGTAAACATGTGAATGCATGCGCGCCGCGCGCACACAATAAACACATGCATCACAAAATGCGTAAATGTACATGATGGGTACATCCATCCCTCCATCCGTCCATCCATAGAGACATAGAGACGTAGAGACGTAGAGATGATATCTGATAGCATGCTGGCAGGGAGGGGTGATGGGGTGGGTGGGTGTGTTAGCGTTCATTGCACTTGCATTATGCAGATCATGCTACGTTAAATGACGTCTCGGTGATGATAGCACGCTGGCAGGGAGGGGTGATGGGGTGGGTGGGCGTGGCCGGAATTCAGAAAACTGTTGTCATTTGATGCTTCGGCTGTGGCGCAGTGCCTGACTTGGGAGGTGGCAGGCACATATATATATATATATTCATATTTGCTATTGAACGCAAGTTTCAGACAGGAGACTCAGAGATCAAGAAACGAAATCTGTCCATGTCTTTCACATGATCAACATGGTCAAGTTTCTCGTGTAGACATCAACGGTCCATATTGTCTCATGACCTGAGAGTTCGCTTGTGCTTTCTGTGGTTGCCTCTGTTGGCCAAAGCTCCTGATCCGGATATTTTCAAGAGGTTTCGGAGAGGTGGGTGACTTGACAGATCATCTACCCTCTGGTCATGACAAACACTTCGCGAACTGGAAAGATCCACCATGCTATCAATGGGTAAATCCACTTTCGACTGGGCCATTTTCAATGTCGCAAACTGTTAAATTATCAGAGGGGATCCGCGGATCCGGAAGTGGCGGGGCTGCGGACACAAGGAATGTCTGCACAGTGGGTAAGAATTTTGCAACATTAGTAATGTGTAATTTGCAGTGGTTGAAATGGGTAATTACATTGTATTACACTAGTAAATGTCAATGTTTGAAATTTGTAATTACAGTGGTTGACATTTCTCATTTGTAGTTCCCGGTCTAATTTGCTGTTAAAACACCATTGATGTACTTGGAATATGAGACATGTCTTTTCGTACCACGGTCGGCTGTGAGTGGTGGACCTAGTTAGGTAGATGGATGGATGGATGATGGATGGATGGATGATGGATGGATGGATGGATGAATGGATAGATGGATAAAGGTATTGGTGGATGGATGGATGGATGGATGGATGGATGGATGGATGGATGGATGGATGGATGGGTCGATGGGTCGATGAGTAGATAAATTAAACAATTGCAGGTATAGATATAGAAACATATATATGTATATATATATACACGAATACAAATATAGACAAATGCACCCTGTGAGAGAAACTTTTTTTTTTTAAATTCGATCAACGCCTCGTCTGAGGCGATTTTTGCCTCTTTGCCTATGCAAGTTCTTTGCGGCTTGGCAGCCGCAAAGGACACGTCCGGGATTTTGAACCAAAAACTGTTGGTTTGAAGCAACATGACTTAGGCGATGTTAGGCGTGTTGTTTTGAATCAAAACGCTAGGGCATGTAACCGATGTAACCATAGCGGCAGAAATGACCAAAGAACTTTGGGGTGATGGAAACTCAAAGTTAGGTGTGTGTAGGGATAGCGAACAAAATCGTGTTGGAACTAGGACCTCCGGCAATTTGGGCACATCTCTGGAAGTCACCTTGGGTTTGTTCAACGTACAAAGATGCGATCCAATAAGGGGGATCGACAGATTTGGTCATCTTAGGGAGGGTCGGCCTGGAGAAGCAAATAGGTTTTATAAACACTGGTTGGTGGTTTGGTTCCCCTTGACTTTCATATTTTTCAGAGGGGTAGGTATACCACCAACCAGAACAGTATAATTCGGATTTATTTTGGGTACGTGGCTTAGAGACCAACCGACATAACTGCAGGGAGTGGCCCCATTGGACTAAGATTTCTTTGGAAAAAAGGGCACTGGAACAGCGTGGCAGCCGCGATGTCTGTGTCTTTGCTCGTTGATTTTCGTGTTTTTCTTGGGTGTCTGAAAATGAACATATGCACTGAAACAACAATGTGTGTGCAGAACATGATAAATCGCTGGAATTGTTTTTTTTTTGACTAGTTTTGGACAAACCAAACCTACGTTGGTTTGGGCAACAGTTTTGGGTTCCAAATTGGACCTTTCCTCATTTTTGGTCGCTCATTCTTGGTATTTCAAGTCGAATTGATGTTGGTCAAAATTCATTTTGGACCATTTTCTGGCCTGCCATATCTTCCTGGTTGTTGGTCAACCCTGATCAATGGAACGTCGGTTGTGAACTCCTTTGAGGTTTCTGATTTTTCGTCATGAGCTCGAACCCAAGCACCTGCAAGATTTGAAAGATGCCTCTCAGTTGCGGTTGGTTCTTGGGGGTTCGTGAACCACTGGATCTAATGGTGGTCGAACTCTGAGTCAGAAGTTCTTCGATGACCTTTGAAATTTTGAAGCCATCACTTGCGAACCACATTTGATCCTTGCATCCACAAGTTCGGATTTGTATCTTTTTCTCATGAAACATATTTGATCCATGTTGAGCCATGTTCCCTATGTCTGTTGGGCCAATGGCACCTGCATCACTTATTGCTAGTCCCTTCATCGAGGAATTCACTCCACTTTCTGAACATTTTCTGCACTCATGGAATGGAATCAGCTCAGCAAAATGATGTAAAATCGAAAACACGTCTTCCAAATCGTATTTTGTTCGGTTCTACACATCAGATTGGTGAATCCGTTTGAGACCACAGCATTTTGGTTCTGAACATCTCTGGAGATTAATTACCTAGATTTTCATGCAATTTCTGCAATTACTCATCATATATGGTCCATTGGTTGGTGGCACATGTTCATACATTTTCATGGGTCATGGGTGAATTTTCCAATGAAGAATAGAAAAAAATGACCCCATTTGGAGACCAACCCACTTCAGCTTGACGATCGATGGGCATCTCAGGAAACAAAGATGTGGTTTTCACGAAGATACCTCGGGTTCTCCCATTTCCATAGGTTGTACCATTTCTCTCTGGGGATATGTATTTGTATCTATCTCTCTATCTCTCTATCTGACTAAATTTATCGACAAACACCTTTACATTGTAAGTGTACATTTAAGGGCTGCCGCCCCTACCGCCGACCCCGGAAAACTGCAAGGAGACGTATTTCCATTCTGACCCAGCGATGTCTGAAGCGGATTTAAGCGTGCTTTCTGGGGCCCTGCGGTGCATCGTGCCGTGGTGGAGCAAGGTTGCAGAGGAGGTATTCTGCCGCTGCTGGATGGTTTCGGCCGGAACAGGGCGCAATATGCTTGCAAGATTCATCGGCTTGTTTTTGGAGAGGGTGTTACGGTGACCGTGGAGTCGCTTGCGGTGTGGGTTCTGTTTGAATGCATATTCCGCTACACTGGAGATGCAAAGGTGTTGGACACTTTTTTTTCAATGTCGATCATCTGCAGGAAGTCAAGGATGCGGCAGCGCATGGCGTGCTGAGGCTTGAGGTGCTTTTGCGCGAAATCTTGCGGAGAGAAGTGCAGGGCCGAACGTCTGAAGGCTTTGTTTTCGACCCGGGATGGCAGGCGGCGGACGTATCGGAAAAAGATGGTCTGGGAGAAGATGTTGTATTTGCTACTGTGGCTCCAGATTCAAAGTTTTTTGATCATATGATGATTGCGCTTGAGATGTGGGGAAGCCAGGCAACAGGTGTGGCGCGGGGCTTGTTTGATTTGATGCAATGTATTGAGGCACAAACCGACAACTTAGAAGAGGATGAGCGTTTGGTTTTTGAGCAGTGTTTGTGTAGGAGCAACCAGGATCAAGGGCAAGGAGATCAGAACGTGTCGCAAGGTTGGCGTGAGCGGCTGGAATGCATGGAGCGTGTGATGGAGGATTTCATGTTCTGTTTGCTTGGTCTGGACTTATTGGGTCGTCCCGCTGGTCGCGCATCGTTGCAAGGCACAGAGCGATTTTGGTGCTACCATTTGAAATTCACTTTGAATGATTGCTATTGTTTGATGGCAGCCTTCTTGTGTGGAGAGCAGAGACGACGACCGGCATCGGAGTGTACTTGTATCAGGTGTAGAGCCATCTGGTTTCTGAGATGTCGATATATTTTTTTCGGACCGAGCCCATTAGCTTTGCATTGTGGATTGCTGTGTCAGGCTCCTGGCACAGACCGTGTTCAAAGAACCACGGTGGCCGTGTGGCGGCAACTTCGAGCACTGTTAGAAAGAGAGTTGGGCGGACACTGGGATCTGTATGCTGTTCAGATGCTGCCATGCACATGGCGAAGCTTTCTGGTGACGGCGTTGAAATATCGAGACAGTGACAGTGTTGATTTCCAGGTGGAGTGGGTCACTTCAGCACGACGTCAAGTCCTTCGTGTATTTGAGTTGGAAACTGTACGGTTAGCAGAGTTACGAGCGTGGCTTCGGCACTTGGGCATGCAGGAAGAGGAGTTTGGTGGCCTGCCAACTGCGGTGCAAAGAGAGGTGTTAGCAGAGGTTCGGTTTTTGCCAACTTTGAAGGCTGTGGTGCTGCGGGAGCTGTTTGCGAAGGCATTGGCGCGGCACTCGAGAGACTGATGCGCACTGAGCGAACGCGCTGTTCGAGGTGAGAACAAGTGACCAGGTGGACGTGAGGACGACTCAGGGAGTACATGGGAGCTCGGAAAGAAGAACTTGCATGAAGATCTTCACGCAGTGGATAAGGACAAGATTTGAGTTAATCTTTGAAAATGTTTGAAAGTGGATGGGTTTGCAAATCAACTAGTTTGCCGGATCAGAGGTTGATGATGGATGATTTTCTGGCAGCTAACCCCAGAGTACATTTGTGCGATATGGGTACGTATGCATAGGTACATGTGTATATATGCACAGACATATGCGCATGCGTTGGAAATGGGGATG